TGCTATGACTCATGGTGCAAACATGTAATAAAAGTTTTGAAAAAGTAATGCATAAAAACCCTTTCGAGATTTTTGTAATATTACTTCTATATACGGGTGCAGAGTAGTACACACTATCAACTTTTGACAGTGCACTTCATTAAAAAAGATACAGTAATCAGCTATGCCATTAGAGACATACTGTATTTTAAAGATGTACAATAACGTTTGACTCCTTGGTGAGCAGATCCTTTCAGATTTACTGCTAATAACGAAATATGTTGAGGATTGTAGCTCGAGGAATACGACTTTTTGACAAATTTTCAAAATGGAGAAATGTGTTTTTGCCAATGAATTTCTTGCATGTGTTCTTGTTTGATGGTTTTAAGTGAATTAGAATGGGTCCAGTGAATATGAACCGGACCAACATGTGTGAACACTCTATTGGGCCTCAGCTTCACAAACACTCCAGATGTATAATTACAGAAAATAAGCCAGCATGATGAGGAGCTGGTTCTGGTTCTGTGTCATAATCAGATGTGCAGATGACACTATAGATAGATATAGGTTTTAAGTCTATAGCCCGAGTGTTAAAACCTTAGTCTCATGCTCATAGACTGTATACAGAGAAATACAGCTAATCTTCCTTTTTTGGACAATGAAGCCCAATAGGGAAGTACTCATGGATGCAGTTTTGCTCCTCGTCGCTCTGACTCCTATTGACTTCCGTTAAAAAGTAAACACCTAACTGTTTGTGTCACTTGTATTAATTTTGTGTATTTGCTGTTGAACAATGGTGTTTAATGAACAAAATACTCTAGAATCAGCCTCATTCTTGCCGTAAGTAGCTCAAGTCTAAACGCTCTTGAGATTAAAATTACATGCACTTGAACATAGCATGAGTTAAATGCCAGTGTTTTATATCTGAGAAGTGTTTTTTTCCTTTTTGTTTGGTAGCTATTTAGCAGCATTCCAGCAGGTAAAACTCTCCAGCCGAGCAACTCATTCTGCAGATGGGTCCCCAGGCGCCCTAGGGCCATTGAAGGATGGGTCAAATGCAGAGGACTTATTTCCCTATGGAGATATTTAAGCTGGTAGTGGTTTTTTTCATAAATATCACATTTATTTGTCCCAAAAGCCCTGTATCGGTAAAATGTTGTGAACAAATCAGACCACATGCTGCTTTCATACTAACTGTTTAACTTTCTAATACCTTTGAACCCTTATTCGCTTTTGTTTGCTCGTAAGAATGAGCTCTGTGAGTCAGTATTTGATGCTTTCGAGTTACAAATTATTGGCTCTTTTTCCATGTTCTGTCTGAAAAGGCTGATCTAAAGATGTGACAGTGGCCAAATACGTGCATTTGAAAAAATGTTTATTGTAGTGATGTCAGAGCAGAGTTTATGGACTTATCATTTTCACTCCATCAAGTTTTAGTTGCTAAAGGACACTTGTTTTTTGTCAAACTAACTGGTGAATGTGTTATGGAAGCTGGTAAAAGCCGCGTCATTAAATCATGTGACTAAACAGCAGTGCAGCATTACAACATCAAAACCTGCCGCTTATAATCAAGGCCTATTTGTGGACAATATTGAATTTCTTTAAACTTTCTGCAGGTGAGGCTTAGATACAAGTGCTCCTCATAGTCACTCAATCATATTTACTTTATGAAGACTTTTCATACTAGGAATGCAACCCAAAGTCCTTTACAATTTGGTTACAAACAATCCAACATGCCCATGACACCTCCGCCCTACCGACCCACCCAAAACCATATTTATAACTAGAAACCGTTGCAATGGCTGAAGCCATTGCGATTGACTGCGGAACAGATCTAATGTGGAATTTAGCTGAAAAATCCTTGAAATCCTTGAAACTGTTAAAATACTTTAAACATCTTTGAAACTCCTGAAGTATTTGAAGCTCCTGATATCCTTTAAACTGTTATCCTTTATACTGGTTTTCATGTAAAAACCCCTATTAAGTTCCATTATACTGGTTTACATGTAAAAACCCCTATTAAGTTGCATTATACTGGTTTACATGTAAAAAACCCTATTAAGTTGCATTATACTGGTTTACATGGAAAAATCCCTATTAAGTTGCATTATACTGGTTTACATGTAAAAAACCCTATTAAGTTGCATTATACTGGTTTACATGGAAAAATCCCTATTAAGTTGCATTATACTGGTTTACATGTAAAAATCCCTATTAAGTTGCATTATACTGGTTTACATGTAAAAACCCCTATTAAGTTCCATTATACTGGTTTACATGTAAAAACCCCTATTAAGTTGCATAATACTGGTTTACATGGAAAAATCCCCATTAAGTTGCATTATACTGGTTTACATGGAAAAATCCCTATTAAGTTGCATTATACTGGTTTACATGGAAAAATCCCTATTAAGTTGCATAATACTGGTTTTACATGGAAAAAATCCCCATTAAGTTGCATTATACTGGTTTACATGGAAAAATCCCCATTAAGTTGCATTATACTGGTTTACATGGAAAAATCCCTATTAAGTTGCATTGTACTGGTTTACATGGAAAAAACCCTATTAAGTTGCATTATACTGGTTTACATGGAAAAAACCCTATTAAGTTGCATTATACTGGTTTACATGTAAAAACCCCTATTAAGTTGCATTATACTGGTTTACATGGAAAAAACCCCTATTAAGTTGCATTATACTGGTTTACATGAAAAAACCCTATTAAGTTGCATTATACTGGTTTACATGGAAAAATCCCTATTAAGTTGCATTATACTGGTTTACATGGAAAAATCCCTATTAGGTTGCATGATTACACTGAAGTCCTTGAAACTGCTGAAGTCCTTGAAACTGCTGAAGTCCTTGAAACTGCTGAAGTCCTTGAAACTGTTGAAGTCCTTGAAACTCTTGAAATCTTGAAACTGCTGAAATCCTTGAAACTGTTGAATCCTTGAAACTGTTGAATCATTGAAACTGTAGAAATGTCTGAAAGAGCTGAAGTCCTATTAAAATGCATGGGCCTATTAAAATGCATTGCAGAATTCTCAATGCAGATTTTTGTCCGATTGCGGAAAAACCGGAAATCGCTGAAGTCCCAAAAGTAATAGCAATAATCTCCCAAACATGTGGAACGTTTTGATGTATAACTTGTGGAAATTGTTGAAAATGTGAAAGCTGTGAAACGTGTCAAAAAAAATGACGGAATAAAGAAATACAAAACCAATGGTTGACTGCGGAAGGTTCCGCAGTCAATCAATTAGGCACACTTTCTTCTTCACCCAAATAGAGACCTGAAATGGAGTGGGAAGAAGAAAGACTTATGAACTCCCCTCCTATCTACATACACACATGCACATACATTCACTTTAGCTGCCTGGTCACAAACACAATGACAATTAATGACATTGTATAATATAATTTCTGTCTATCCTCCACCATCATTTTTAAGTTAAGTAATATTATGGTACAGTCACATTTGTTTGATTCTTTGTGACAAAACGAACCACATTTTCTTGAGTTTGAACTGTTTGATTCTCTGATCTGATCGGCAAATTCTACGGTTTTGTTTAGTCCTTCGAGATAATTTAGAGCTTTACAAGAACAAATTGAATTGAATTTAGCTTACGCAGTTCAGTTTATTGTGGCTTCAAAGTCAGGCACTGCTTTATCCACCCCCTAACTCCGTTGCCGATCCATTGCCGATCCGTTGCCGTGCAGTCTTGTCTCACACACATATCCTTTCAAATACCAGTGCATGAGCAGACCTCAGTCCCTCTGCGATAGGTTTCCATGGTAATCCAGTCTGGATCAGAGTCATTCCCGGCATTTGCTCAGTGCCCACTTGTGAGCTGTTTATGTTTTATCACTCGTTAACATCTGAAAATAGACGCCCGGCTTTTACACCAGTGGATTGTGCGCGAGATGATCCACAGGTCTGAGTTATTGCCTCTGATTGCACACAGCTGGTGCTAAGAACGCATGGCACAGCGGGACGGTTCGCCAAAGAGCTTCATGTTTATTTGATTGGGGGAAGCTGAAACATTCATATTGTTTGTTTGCAAAGTTACTTACAAAAGTGGAGGGTTGTGTAGAGATTTCACTAGGCTTTGTTTGTACAGCAGTCTGAAATGTGGTGTACAGGAAGCATAGGTACTGCTACTGGTTGGTAATGATGGAATATGGATTTTTAAAAGCTTTCGGTCTTCTTCTTGTGTGTTCTTGTGTCTTATTACTAGTCAATACTCAATATCTTGTAGTGAATGCATACAGTACATGTTTGATATTGGTATAATATAATATAATATAATATAATATTTTTTATTATTTAATTGGTCTCTTTTACACACTTTACATAAAATAAATAGTAATATTTGTTCCTTATAGATTATGACTTTTGATTAATTATAACAGTGGCTCAGTTGGTAGAGCCTGAAGGTCGTGGGTTCGAGCCCACCATGAGACCTTCTCCACTCCCACTATTGTCTGCTGTCATTGTGTCCTTGGGCGAGACACTTTGCCTGAAGCCCCTGCTGAAAGATTATGGTTGATGCTGACGTCCAATACGTTAACGCTCATTTGCATATTATAGTCTAAAAATGTGGCATACAGTAGGATAAAAAAAAAACTTTAAAAATTTATGTTTAAAAAAAAATTGCATTCTGCCGTTTGAAATATAACTCACACAAGAAACTCTTAGATGTTATCAATTATTACTAATCACTCTAATCCTAGTAATTTGATGTATTGTTGGTGTCATCCCAAGACTGATCACATTATTTACATTCTCTATATTTTAATACTACAGCACAAGTTCTCCCCGTGACTGCGTAGGGTGCTCCGCTTATCATTTACCACTAAAAACATGTGATATCTGACCCTTGCACCCATCACTTTGTGAAGTGGGATGAGAAAAATGCCCACAGCAATGTAAAGCGCCTCGTGACTCTGGCTGTGGAAGGCGCTGTATAAATATAATACTAATACTAAAATACTGAAATAATGTTCTCTCTGTTCCCGCAGGTCAAGCAACCAAAAAGACGTATGTGAGCTACAATAACCTCAGGATCTGACCCTCGACGCCGTGGGAGAAGCAGGAGGAGCAGGAGGACTTTCCCACACTGGTCACTGAGGCACAGACTGATGTGGTTTGGTGACATCCTGCAGGGGGCGCACTCCCGGCTGCAAACAGAGACAGCAAACCAACTCCAAAACACTTTCTCTTTCTGTTTCCATGATCATTGGTGAAGCCATACTGTCTTGGGGTTTTCATCCTCCACTTTTGTTTTGTAAATGTGTGGTTTATTCTGAGCCTCATTACAGCGACTTCTGCCACATATTGACAGTATTTTATTTGTATTTTCTTTTACAAATCTCTACTCAAACTGGTTACTTTTAAAGGACAAGCATTATATATTTTTTGTAAATATTTGAGAGTATTTTCATGTTCGGAGTACAAAACTATCCAGCTATTGTTCGGCTGAATTTGGATGGTCTATGACAGCACCTCAAAGTGTTCACTTTGCATGTGCCAATGTTTGTCTGTTCTACTCGATGTTACAAAAAATGGAGAAATAAAATTTGAGATGAGCTTCAGCATCCCTCCGCATTCCTTGACCAGACCGGCAGCCGCAATTCAGAACAACAGGGGAACAACGGGAATGGTCAAAACTCACTTTAAAGGAGATATATTGTGTTTTAAATCTTTGATTCCCAGATCTGTGTTAGCAAACTCAACAGTTTTTGTAAAGTAAGTAAGTAAGTGAGTAATGGTTATTTTTTTAGCGCATTTTACAAACGAAGGTCCCCCAAATCCCTTTACAATGCTCAGAATTCAAGTCCTCTGAGATAACTACAGTTGTGATTTAGGGCTATACAAGAATACATTGAAATGAATAGAGTATTATGCTAACTCAACTTTTTTTGAGATTTCAACCAGGTCAATATTATTCGCACAAATATGTAACTCCGCCCCTATCCCTCTAACGCCACTTCCATGTGACATCGGTAACATCTACATAATCTTCAGACGTTGCAAAAATCAGAGTGTTCAAACTGAGCTGCTGATGCCGGTGACACACACATACACACACAGCAGTGAAAACAATACCATCAAGTGTAGAAATGAACCTGGATTCTCTTTGCTAGTTCATGACAAAATCACAGAAACCTTAACTGGTGAAACCTGAGAAATACACAATAAAAAAAATGTACAATCTTTAATACATCTGCGAAGCGTATGTGGTCATAAATCCCCACTTGCGTATTTTAAAATGATCCTTAAATATGTCCATTTCATCATAGTAAAACCATTGGTGCGATACAAAACACATACTTTCTCAGTCTGTCTCTATTCTTTCACTTTTAATTTTAATTTTAATCTGACATGAATCACAGTGACGCAAACTCAGAGTTCCAGCCCAAGTTTCCGAGTTTAATATTGGAATTGAGCAGCATTCATCCATTCCCATTCTTCCGGGTGAATAAAAGCCAAATAAGTTGTGTAAAGCTGTGTTCTCATCGGCTCATGCGTTGCGGCGAGTGTCAATGCAAAGTCAACGGTGACGTCCGCCTACGTGAGGAATTGGATGTACATTGCAGCGTGCACGTTTGTACGGCAGAGCAGACGCCTTGTTGCGGTGCGGCAGAGAAGGAGGGTACAGCGGCTCGATGCATTCAGCCAAAGCAGGAGATGAGATTCACTGAACATCCTCACTCCACACATGTGCAGGAACCAATCAGAGAGCAGCAAAGTGGTTACAGGGACATTGGCCGGTCAAAAAAGGAAGACGAAGATACCAAAAAAACCAAAACATGAGCTATACCAGGACTAAACCAGGGCTGAAAAAGGGGGACCTTGTGCTTGTGAACATATGTCTTCGCCCTGAGCTAACGTTCTACTGTAGCTGTAAACAAGTGCTGCTAACATTTTCGCCGATAGCAAAGAACTCACCACTATGACTGGTTAACTCATGCAGCTGAAATTTAGGAAACGCCTCCATCAACACACGTCCATGCCTCAGTGGTGAGAAAACAGCTTAATAGTATGATGTCATTGTTCCATTATGACATCACAACCAGAGCAGTTTACGGTCTTTAAAAACATGAGTATTGCCCACAATCCACTTTTGGCATTTTCTCAGGTGAAATTAAGTTCCTTACAATTACATGTCTGTGTTAGCAGTGGGTCAAGTTCAAATTTGAAAAAATATAAAATAAATCTCCCTCTGGTGGTAGCATAAGGAGTTACAGGCACAAAACATTTTTCACCATCCATACTTGTTTTACCAAATATTTTCGATGCAAGCTCTTATTTTACAGTATAAAACATGTGATGACTAAATAAATCTTCTCATTATTCATGTTAATGGCCAAAAATAAGACGTAATATTTCTTCTTTAAGGAAATAGATGGAAACACACAGTTTGAAGGTTCCTTATTTTTTCTGTTTTCTCTGAATTGCGGTTGCTTGAAATCGACCGACAACGGCTTCAAACCATGTGTTCCAACTGTATCTGCAGCATGTTTGTTTTTAGGGTTTGGGTATAATAATATGCCTCATGATTACGGTGTTGGACGAGTTCATATCGGAGCAATCATGCAAGTTTGTTGTGATGTCTGTCAAATGATGAACATGTAATAAAATCATTTTGTTATCTTTTATACAACCAGCGCAGGCAGCACATGATTATTGCCGCATGTCTATATGTGACTCTGTGTGGGCCGCCTCTGCCTCTCTCTCTCTCTCTCTCTCTCTTCTCTCTCTGCCATGTTTCATACAGAACACTCATCACTAATTCATCCACTGCAGGGAGTTTCAAACTGCGGGACAGGTACGCTCCTGGTACATGAAGTGTTATCTGTACTTCGGCGCCAACGATGGCTGAGTGGATTGTGGTGACTCTCTTCTCAGCAAGAAGGTCCGGGTTTCGAAACCCAAGTCGGCCTATCTGAGTGGAGTCTGCATGTTCTCCCTGTGTCTGCATAGGTTTCCTCCAGGTGCTCCAGTTTCCCCTACCACTAACAAATCCTCAAGCTCTGGTAGTTCTGACCAAGCATCAACATCTGGAGCTGGGTTCCCTGATGCAGTACTACGGCGAGGGCGACAACTGCTCCTGACACCCAAGTGGGATCTGGAAGATGGGTCAAATGCAGAGGACAAAGTTCCCTACGGTGATAAATAAAGTACACATTTACGTTTATGTATACCATGAGTACAAGTGAAACTCGGGAAATGAGAATGTTGTTCAAAAGTTAATTTATTTCTGTAATTCTGTGATGTAAATCCAATATATGACATAGATGTATTGCAGGCAAAGTGATGGATTTATTTGTGATTTTAACAGCTGTGAGCCAATTATCAACATGACGCATAAATGCTTGATATATCTCACTTTAATCATAATGCATCTGTCACAATAATTCATTGGTTGTATATATTGCTTTTTGGACACTCAAAGACGCTTCACATGTCATTCTTTCACTCCATAAACAAATAAACTACTACTATAGCCACAGCTGCCATGAGGCACACTGACAGAGGCGGGGCAACCAGTGTGTGCCATCGGCCCCTCCCACCACCAGCAGCCATTCACACACACACCAGACTCCTTTTAGGCATTGTGGTTGAAGGGTGTTCCCAGAATCTCATATCACAGTACTAATCAAGCCATGTCTTGCTTAGCTTCAATTATCTATTATTTTTCTTAAACACTAAAGAATAGTCGTTTTGTCACCTCAGCGTTTTATCAGCCTTTGTGACTTTAGATTTGACCCTATAAAGTGGCATTTAAAAACGATTTAAAACGGTGCTAAATTTCTCTTGACCAAAACTGGAGCTGCCTGTCTCATAAAAGTTAGTTTCAAAGGACACAGTATTTTTATGAAGATGTAGCCCTTTTGTTTTCAGAGATGTTGCTCATTCAGTTTCAGTGTTCTGGATTTTTCAAGCCACGGTCAATAAACGCAAAAACCAATCAATCAACACATTTAAATGTTAATCGGAGAATGCATTATTCATATACATTCTTAACACACGTGCACGGAGGTTTTCAGAAGTATCTGTTAAGGTTTTCATGACAAAAATACTGTTTAAATGCGAGAAAAAGATCAACCCGGAAGTACGTTCTGGGACATGTTAAGAATATTCTATCTAAGGATCTAATTATGGATTTAGGTTAAGTTTATATTTGGGTCACTCACCGCTGATGTTCAGAATTCTTTGTTCAGTTTTCATGCAGTTTCAGAGAGTTCTAGTTTGGAAGTTGCTATAGCCTAACTTACTCGCATACTGTAGCCACGGGGAAACCTTTGGGAACTATTTTATTTGTAGTCATTGAATAAACATTTCGGCATTCATAAAAGTGGACTGAAGTTTATTTTATGTTTTCTGTTTGTACAAAGCCGTATAAAACGCGGGATAATGTATACTAGGCAGGTCATTATCAGAAAATAAGTACCGAAAGACAAAAAGACCTGCCTACTATACATTATCCTTTGCTTATTTTCCGAGTTTCAACTTGACAGCAAATACTTGGTAATGCAATCTCTGTTGTCGTGTTTTTCTAATTAAGCTAACATATAAATATCAGTTTTATTCTTGTATCTTTCTGTTTGATGATGGCAGGCTTTAGAAAATACGTCTTTGAATCTCTGGGGGATTCTCCTGGTTATATAAATGTGAAATGAATAAAGTTAGATATCATACTGTGAAATATTAAAATCAAACCACAGCTATCGCCATGGGGATTAGCAGATGGCTGTACGTTACACACTGTGTCTTTGTGCGTTTCTTGTGGGTCCCTGGTTGTATGTTTTACCCTGGTCTCTGCCTATACATGGATTATCCTTATATGAAGAGTATATGAACAGTTTTCTTACTTGTTTCATTGTCTGTGAGAGCTATGGTGGTGCTGAGCAGAGTTTCAAACCCGTGACAGGCCACATTATCAGGCTCGATGCTTGGAGCTCTCATGCATAAAGTCTAGACCCCTGAGACCACTGCATGCTGCCCATTTCTCTTCACCCCCATTTCTGCTGTGCACTGGACATTTCTCCAGAGCTTGTATTTAAG